CCAAAAAAAAAAAAAAAAAAAAAAAAAAAAAAAAGAATGAATTCACTGGAATTATTGCATGACAACTGTGTGGGCATGAAAAAGAAAAGAAAAAAAAGAATGAACTCAGCTTTGAGAGGCTGAGGCAAGGGTATTGCTTGAGCCTAGGAATTTGAGACTAGCCTAAGCAATATAGTGAGACCTCCTCTCTATAAAGTCAAAAAATTAGCCAAGCGTGATGGTGGGTACTTGTAGTTTCCTGCTACTCGGAATGCTGAGGTGAAGGAGCGTCTGAGCCCAGGAGGCTGAGGCTATGGTGAACCGTAATGTGATAGTACTATTGCACTCCAGCCTGAATGACAGAATGAAACTCCTAACTCAATAAAAAAAAAAAAATTCATTGAGCAGGTAAAGGAAGAGGTATTCCAAGCAGAATATCAGTGGGTATCAGTGTATATGAAAGTATAGAGACATTTTGTTTTGGGGTTAGTTCGGTCTGAGAAGTAGACAGATGAGGCTTGGAGAGGAAGATAGAGACCAGACTGAAAACAATTTTATATATTCTTTTAAGTTTTCAAAAAAGGTTTTCTCTAAAGCCATACATTCTCCCTAAAACAGAATTATATATGGAATACCAATATATAAAGCAGGAAACAGTAGACTTACTGTCTAACTGAACAGTAACAAGGGTACTCCAATTTGGCCTCCTTGTTGGTTTTCACAGGAAAGTTTGAAAACCACTAGGCCTGTATCTACGAAGGTAACAAAGTTGAGCTGTTAGGTGTATGAGCTATAAGCCAATGGCAAATCCTGGCTTTGTGAATCACTAATTTGGCAACTTTGGATACATTACTTAACCTCAGCCAGCACTTTGGAAGGCTGAGGTGAGAAGACTGCCTGAGCCCACATCTCTACAATAAGTCAAAAAATTAGCCAGGCGTGGTGGTGCATGCTTGTAGTCCCAGCTACTTGGAAGGCTTAGGTGGGAGGAATGCCTGAGCCCAGCAGGTGGAGGCTGTAGCCATGAGCATGCCACCGCACTCCAGCCTAGGCAACAGTGGGACTGACGTTTATTTTTTTGAACTGGAGTCTCACTCCATTGCCCAGAATGGAGTGCAGTAGCACGTTCCCAGCCACTGCAACCTCAACCTGCTGGGCTCCAGTGATCCTTCCACCTCAGTCTTCCAAGTAGCTGGAACTATAGGCGTGTATTACCATGCCCAACTAATTTTTTATTTATTATAGAGACAAGGTCTTGCCAAGTTGCCCAGGTGGGTCTTGAACCTGCGGGCTCAGGCAGTCCACTTGCCTTGACCTCCCAAAGTACTGGGATTACAGGCTAAGCCACCGAGCCCAGCTGACCTTGACTCTTTTTTTTTTGAGTTGGAGTCTCACTCTGTCGCCCAGACTGGAGTGCAGTGGCCACTCCCGGCCACCGCAGCCTCGAC